TTGTGCTGTGGAAGCATATGCATTTCTGAATGTCTGCCCGTGATTTTTTCTCAGTGCTTTCATGTGTGAGAGGGACAGATAAATGGGAATTTAAGCATGAAAGTGGGAAGGTAAAAGCAGGCACTTACCTGTGCAGGTGAGCACGTACACAATCTTTATATCCATAAACTGCCTGTCTGTGAGGCACCGCATGCGTGCGCGGGTGTATGTGCTGTTGTGGAGCAGCATCCAGGTGTAAGCCTGATTATCTGCCCACACATCTTCTAACGTGTGTGGAATAAGCTGCACATGCAGCTGACGTAGGTGAGCCTGGACTTTTCATATTTTAAGCAGATGCGTTGTACTTAGTCCTCTGTATGAAGAAAACCTACTCAAAAACCGACTTTATCTCTGCCTTTAGTTTATTTTGGTTGAACGCAGAGCCTCTGATGAGGAAAAATGTAGCAGAGAGCATATATTTTCCTGCCCATTGCATGTCTGGACAGCATAGCTGAATGTATAGGCTTTGTATGCCTGGAGCTGGTGGGTGAGCTGTTCAGGCCAGGACAGAGAGCCTGTCTGTGTCTTAGTCAGTACATCATTCCTGGCTTGCTTTTTCCACAAAGAGTCACCTAAATCTTTAAAGAACAGAGGCAGCTTGTTGGAGTAGAGGAAAGAAATTCTGTAGCTCTGCTTGCTCATTTTTTTAGTATCTCTTGAATCTTTCTGAGATTAAGGATGTGGTTCCAGGCATGCTGGAGTTTTTTTCTGCTTTGAAACCAAACAAAAGGGCCTAGCTATAGATAAGGGTATGACAAGAAAAGTTAACCCTTAGGTTGCTAGTAAACTTTTAGCTTTATTTCCAGCTTTACTCTGTCTGGAGTGTGACTGGATGGCACTGGCTTCCCTTCTTTAGAATGAAGAAAAAGACTTTAATGTCTTCCAGCGGGATCATCAAATGGAGTGAAGCTCTGCCAAGTTCAGTCTGAGCTGCAGGGTGCAGTGATTAAAAACAGGCCTGTGCCTTGAGGAGCCAGCAGATGAGGCTGTGTGTGACTGGCTCCACATTGCTGCTCCTGGACAGGCAGGGGCAGCAGTCCCTGTCCAAACCAGAGATGTTGTCATGTACCGGGAGTTTCAGGGACATTTTACTACATCACTTTTACAAACTCTGAGACCTGACAGAAATGAGATGAGTGATGCAGAGTCACATACACACAGCCACAGGACACTGGTTCCTCAGTTTGCCCTATGTGGCACTGGGAGACTGAAGTAGCCACATCTGCTAAGTCTGTTGCCAGTGTGACTGAGGGGACCCAAGTGGTAATTCTCCTGAACTTCATCAAGGTCCCCCAGCAGATGCCCAGATGAAAGATTTCTGCAAGCCTGGAACTGTCAGCATCTCAGACTTCCCTTTGAGGGTCCCTTTCCAGCCTCATTCCACAAATAGCTCTTAGCCTGCTCTTTCTATGAACCTTAACACTTTTTTCCTTTTCTAAGCCATGGACAAGTTCTGCAGCCACTGCACAGATGAACAATTTCTCCAAGGCAAACTTTCCAGTCCCACTAACTGCAACTCTGTGATTTTTCTCTCTTAACAACAACCACAATGCTCTTATTGCCAAAAGACTTGGCCTGGGTGCAGTCTTTCTTCTGAGCAGCATCTGTGGTGGCCCTTGTCTATGGCTCAGCAAAAAAAAATGTAGGATAGAGAGAAAGAAAAAGCATGGAGCTGCAGTGTACCTGGAAAATGTAACAAAGGGAAAGTTGCAGTTAGCAAAAGACTTAGCTTGAGTGAAATATTTTATCTGAACAATGTTTGGTGATCCTTTCTAGTGCTTCCCTGGGAAATTAGGGTTCAAGTTCAAGGGAGAGCAAAAGGCATAGATCTGCAACTGGAGCTGGGTCAGAGCAGGGCTGCCAAACCAGGGTGAGAGGCAGCTGAGAGAGCTGGGCTGTGAGAAGCCTTTCACCCTGCAATGGCTTGAGTCCTCTTCCCACCAAAAAATGACTTGTGCAGACTTTGTGATCTCACTAGCACAGCCCTTCAGCAGATGCTGTCACACAAGAAGAAACTCACACCTGTGCCAGCTTCTTTCACTCGTCCTGTCATAGGTAGTTCATCATCTTCCTCAGTCATGTTTGGTTTCATGCCTGGTTTTTCTTGTTACTTATTTGAGATGGTCTGGAGGGAGGTTAAGAATATTGCAGTATAAGAATATTTCAGTGCCTTTATTTCCTCCAAAGACTTGTTTTCAACAAGGAGAAAAATGTTACTTACCTCAAGGTGTGAGGAGGAAAGATGGGATCCCCAGCATCTGGCTGTGCAGGAGCCATGCACAGCAATGGTGATGCTGTGTTTGTGAAGGGTCCATCTGCTGCTCCATCTGAGTCTCAAATGAGATCACCCTTCTATCTCTGTTACCTTAGCATCATATTTCTTAATCTCTGTGTTGGTGGTCTCTGTTTGACTGTAATGCACTTGTCTCTGGAAGTTACTCACAGGTAGTGAAAAGAAAGTACAGAAAGTAGTACAGAAAAGTGATACAGAAAGCTACTGCTCTTGTGATCCAAGTTGACTGTGAAGGCAAGGACTGATACTACCTGAAATGTATTAGAAATGCTGCTGAGCACAGACCAGTTAAGGCTGGGGAAAAGTAGATTCTCTTCAGTGGAGTTTATGAATCTGGTTGTTCTGAGTGTGCTTGCTTATGTGTGTGTCTGACACTGCCTTGTCCTTGATCTAAGTGTAGAACATCTGAGCAAGAATTTATAGAAGAATATTGTATATGTGCTTTATGCCTGGGGAATGCAGAGCATTTACCTCTTTCCCAGAGTTTTCTCTAGACAGACCCATTAGAAAACAGATTCAGCAAGTAGGGATTTTATAGAAGAGGGCTGCTATTGCCCTGACACGTGCCACTACCTGACCTCTGTGAATTTATATGTTTTGCATCTAGAAAAGTGGACAACATGTATCATTTTAAGGAAATAGATATGCCCCATCATGACAGCAGGGATTACATGATGGGATTAAAAAGCAATCCATGCAAAAGCAGAAAGAGATTCCCTATCCTAGAAACTGACTTCAAAGGCACCTAAACTCAGTGAAAATTAAGGGATGAGAATTAAGAACTAGTAAAACCTTTACTCTGCAATAAACCCAATATATACAGTGATAAAGATAAGTCACTCCCATGCTCCAGGGCATATCCTCCTGCCAGGATGAGGGAATTTCCTTTGAGACTTTCCATGGCCCTCCGGCTTTGATACTGTAATGCAGTTGTGTAGGCTGTGGTGTAAGGGAAGTTTCTGTTTTCTGATGTATAACAGGCAGGGAAAGGAAACTGGACTTCAGGATTCTTCTTGTAGCTTTCGTTTAATGAATTGAAACTGACAATGATATCTTTGTTTCACTGAGGATTCAGCAGGGTTGAACTGAATATAGGAAGCAGGTATGGTTATAAAGAACAGTGATCAGTGATTAGGGAATGTCCTACCAGAACTTATCAGCCTCTCATGAATGTAGCACTAAAAAGGAAAAAAAAAATAGGAAGATGTAGTCACTAGTGGGGGAAGGTAAGTAGAGCCTTCAGAAATGACCAAATTCCCTGGCCTGGTATGAGCACCTATGTGCAAGCATTAAACACTGCTTCTGGCTTTTGGGTATGAAACAGTGTCACTCCAATATTTCATGTTGGTCTTTTTTTCAGACCTGCAGGTTTAACTGAGTGCTGAATGAATGATCTAAAGATCCTTGATATCTGTAGAAAACTTATTGTAGCTTTGAGAAATCTCTGAATAGAATTTCCTACCTGCTCTGGTCTGATGTCATCTGAAATTCTGAGAGTAGATTCTGAAATTCTGGGTGTAGATTCTGGGATTCCCTAACTTACTGAATTTTTATTGCAAAAACGTGATTAACTTGGGTACTATCTTCCCTTACTCCACCAAACATTGTAGGGTGCTAGAATTAAAGTTTCAGAAGTCAGCTCAGTGGCAGTCCTTTCAGATGGAGCAGTCTCTAGTGGTAGGGATGAAACTAAGACCTCTGGCTCTTACAGCCTGAGCCCCTTCTGTGTTGCCAAAAGATCTGATGCCAGAAGTGGCATTCAGCAGCTGGTACTGGCCAGGAACTCCATACTCCCCAAAGAAACAGACAGTGCTTCAGACTTTATGATATATGTCTACAGTCTATCTGTCTAAGGAATTAACCTAGGCCAGTCTGATTTTACAGAATATGGTGCTTCTGATATTTTCAAACTGCAAGAAATAGCAGCATACACTTCTTAGTAGGAAGGGCAATGGATTTTGTATTAATTTTAATGGGTTTTTTTGGAGTTTCTTTGGGGTTTTTTTTGTGTTGTTGTTTGTTTTGGGTTTTATTTGTTGTTTTCTTTTTAATTTTCATTCAGCAAGTTCAATTAAAGGAAAAGAAATAGAAAGAGTCTCCCATAATAGTGGAAGATTCTCACAATATCCAATGATATTGTGAGATATCCAATTTTAATGTTGACAGCTGTACTCTGCTGTGTTAGCAGTTCCCTCCTAGTGGGATTGCTGCTTCTTGGGCTGGCCAGCTGCAAACTAGTGGAGGGCAGCTGTGTGACAGCCTAAGCAGTGGGTGCATGCAGGAAGGAAATGTGTCCCATAAGGTCAATGTAGCCTTTGTTTTGGTCTTCTTGGGACTGAAGATGCAATGGAAGTACAATTACTTAATCTAAACCCAGCACAGTTGTGGATAACCATAAACATAACCTTAAGCCCACCTTCCATGGGTATGAGATATAAACCAGCTTAGGGTAGAGGATAGTTTGAAGCACTGTTAAGCGGAAAAAAAAAATTCACCATGTAATTCTTGTTTTTTAAAATAGCTTTATTCTTCAGAGTCTGTTAGAAACTGGACCTTCACAAAGGCTGCCCCCCTCCATGTGAAAACTTCTCTCCTTGTGTGCCCCGAGCACCAGCTCAGGAAGAGTTTAAGCTGACACCCAGATGTCTCTCTTGCTCTCTGCTGTCAGGGATCTTTGGACAGCGCTTGGAGGACACAGTGCAGTACGAGAGGAAGTATGGCCAGCGCCTGGCCCCACTGCTGGTGGAACAGTGCGTGGATTTCATTCGGGAGCGAGGCCTTACAGAGGAGGGGCTCTTTCGGATGCCTGGACAAGCCAACCTTGTCAAAGATCTGCAGGATTCTTTTGATTGTGGAGAGAAACCCCTTTTTGACAGGTGAGTTGGCATCACCAAATTCAGGCTGGTGTATGTGTGATATGTAAAATCTGCCAGGAACATCCATGCAGTGGTAATCCTAGCTTACATGTTCCTTCCACACCATCATTCTCTCTGTTGAAAGCACTGATGGAGCTTTCTTCTGCGTGGTGGTGGGTGTGGAGGCCTTTATTCAGCTCAGTGGAGGAGCAGAGCTCATTGGTCTGTGTGGGGCTCCTCTAGTGTTTCAGGTTAAGCACATATTGAATGAAAAGCATTGCTAGATTTGGGTGCAGCAAACAGAGCAGTTGGTGGGATCCCATCACAGAAATGGGTATGACAGAGGTGAGCTAAGTGATGTACTTCTTTCAGGTGTTGCATTCTCCCAGCAGATCTGCCTGGAGCAATATCTTGACTCTTCTTTTGTCACCAGGTTTCAGGATAGTCACCACCATCTGACGTATTTTACCTGGCTGTTATGCCAGCAGCTCTTTTGTAGATTCTCAGCTTAACATCGGTTCCCATGGGAAGAGTGTCAGCCCTGTCTCTGAGCACTCCATCCAAGGGCAGCAAGGGAAAGGGCAGCTCTCAGCTGTGCTGTCTCTACATTGGCCCTCAGGCAGTCAGATGATCAGAAAAGTGGATGCTGTCAAGGCCCTTCCAGCCAAACACTGTCCTTAGCCTGTAACTGGCATTTCATCCACTCTGTCACATGTACATCCTGCCTGGAGTGAAGGTCAGCATTGTGCAAAGCTTAATAGCCCTTTGTGAAATAGGGCTTGACCCTAACAGGGGCCTTGAACTTCAGGGATATTTGGATCCAAGGGCGTTGTGTAGATCTGGTCTGATCTCTGTCACAGGTCCATAAATGAGATCAGATCTGGGATCTTGTCTTGGAGGCCTGGCACTATTTCTTGCTGGAACTCACTAGCCCCATTTTTCAAGGTGGTGCTGGTGGCATCTGGTGTATTACCAAGACAGTAACCTTGGGGGATTGCTTCCCCTGGACCTGCATCCAGTCTCAACATTGCCAAAACCTTCCCTGCCCACCACTGTGGGAAGAGCTAGCACTCTCTCCTGCGTGGGCAGAAACAGTGTTTGGTCTCATCTTGGGAAGTGTATCTTCAGAGTTTATTTGGAACATTCTTCTAATTCTTCCCTTCCCTCAGCTTCCCAGACCACCCATCCTCCTTCCTTTGATTCCTAACCACAAACACTATTTGCTCCCTAAATGGAAGTGTCAAACATTTAGAAATATTTTCATGAAAAAAATAAGTTTGAAATCATCAAATTGTCTCAGTTAATCTTTTCTTAAACAAAAGATTTGGGTTTTTAAAATTGAATTTTTATTTTGCATTTTTAATTGAATGTCTGGGTGTTCTAGTTCAGAATTAGAATTTTCTTAATTCAGTGCTTATACTCTGGAACAGGAGTATCTATGGAAGGAATGAATTAGGAGTGAAAGTTTCAACTTCATGTTTCACTTTAGCTTTATCTAACTTCATTATTATGTAGATAAAACAAACCTCTACCCAGCATTTTTAAAGCAAATTGTATAATGGTTTGGATTGGAAGTCTTATGTATTTATAGTCACAGACAGCAGTAAGGGAGAGGCAGTTCCACTCTGGATAGATGAAATGCTTTTCCCCCTGGCAGCCATAATTTTCTCCATGTGTAACTACAACTTATCTCTGAATGGCTGGGATACCTTGGCAGCAGAAATGTGAAATCCTTATGTTTCTTTCCAAATCAGGTGCAGTGAAAGGAATATCCTTTCTTATTTCCCAGCTGCAGTCAGTGCTTTTAGACATCTTTTGTAACTACAGTGATATCCCAGGTGCTTATAGCCTGCCTGCCCCATGGTGTATCAAACCTTTATGATGACTGATAATGAAAATACTTATTTTTAAAGGCTTTCTTTTCTAATGTTTTAATGAAAGACCAGGTGTTGCTGTTTTGGAAGCACCTATAGCAGTCTGCTCCTGTTTCATGCCACTGAAAGTCTGGCTGTATTTCATGTGGGTGAAACAGTTTGTGCAGCCAGTGGCCTAGAAGCTCTGTTCTGGGCTCTGCTTCTCAGTGATAGTCAGATCCACCATCCATGCCTGAAACTCCACACTAAAGGATGAAAAAGAATAAGGGTACTTACCTCATTTGTAAAACACTATAATCAACTGAAGAAAACCACTGTGTGAAACTGTGATATTCTCAAATATGATAGAGCTGTTTAATAGGAATAGCATTAGCAGGATTAGGAATAAGTGGTATCTGCTGACAGTTTCCTGTTGTAGCTTTTCCAGTTTTGTTTTAGCTGTATGTTCCAAAACAAGAAACATACTAAGTAGAAGAGATTCAGCTTTTGTAGAGAAGAGAGGATTTGAAACTCTCTTGCCAATGTTCACTGATACATTTTTCTCAGAATTCTTTAAAGACTGTCAGAGCAATAATGGGTAGGGAGGAGCTAGTGACAGAATCTCTTTAGACTTCCAACAGTCAAAACCTTTGAGGAGGTCATCTGCAATGATTAACAATGTTGTATGACAGGAAAATGGGAATGAGGCAGAGATATCACCATGCACCAGAAGCTGGGTAACTGGAAAGGGTTCATCTTCATCATGAGATCTGACACCTCAACCCCAACTTTGAAGCAAAGGAGAAAGAAGAGGAAAAAAGAAGTTCCTGGATTGGGAGAGAAAATAAAAACTGATATCCTATCATAACAGGTGGGCTAGGAAATTCCAGATACCACAAGCCAGACAGCCATACCAAAGGGCAATAGAAGACCTGGAGGAAATACAGCTTCCTCTATTTTTTCTGAATGAGTGACCAGGGCACGTGGGAGCCCAGCCCATCAGCTGTATGTGTGTCCTGGCTGGGGAGAGTATCAGGAAGGATCAGTAAGAGGCTCAGAGGTTATGTGCCATGGAATAGGGATGCAGAGCTCTGCTGTCAATGCTGTGTGATCACTGTGCACTTGCCTGCACTATTCCCCACATTCCTGGTCCACACAGGCAGAGGGACCACAGTGTCACCGTGCCTTAAGCAGTATCATGGGCATATCCCTTCCACTGCCTGTGTTACCCGAGATGCATTTCTGTCTTGACAGAATGGAGATTTCTCTTGTTCCCAAGCAGACCTTCCTGCCTAGTACCAATGACTGGCAGAAGAGCTTCTTTCCATGGGCCTGCTTTGTCCCTGTCCCTGAGAGGGACCTTGATGCACCCCCAACAAAAGGCATCAAGCTTTGAGGTAGTGTGGGTTTCTAAATTTCCTTCCCTCTTCTCTGTTGCAGCAACACAGATGTTCACACTGTGGCGTCCCTCCTGAAGCTTTACCTTCGAGAGCTGCCAGAGCCTGTCATCCCCTTTGCCAAATACGAAGACTTTCTTTCTTGTGGACAGCTACTCTCAAAAGATGAGGGAGAGGTCAGTGATCCTTCTAATCTGCCTCCTCAGAGAATGTTCCCAAGAATCTATGTAGTACAGGTTTTTTCCTCATCTCTTCAAAATTGATTTAAATCAGTGAAGTCCTTGGGAACCTTTCCCTGAATTTTCCTGAAGCTGTGAATTGGGTGCTGTTATCACAGGCTCTTGCTTTAAAAAAGAAAAAAAGTCAGTCTTGTAGCCTGGTGCTTCTTTCTTCTGTGCAAAGCTCTTGTGTAGCATAATTGGCAAGAGATGCAAGGTAGGAGGAAACCTGGGCTCCTTTTCCAGCTGTTTACTCACTAATAAGTTGTATGGAGTCACTCCCTTTGTGTTTTCCATTTATTTTTTCAGAACAGTATATTCTCCTCCCCAAAGATTTTGGTGGATAAGGCATTGATCAGTGCAATGATCCTTGTCTTTCTTAGAGGAAAGGCACTATGAGAAGGCAGACTATGATATTATCCCAGAATGGGGGGGAAATAATGCTATGTATACTTTGCCAGAACCTTCTTATTATGTTCTTCTCTTTGGTTTCCAGGCAAGGAAAAGGGCTGACAAAAAACTGCCAAGTCTGTGGCAGTCATGGAACAGGATAATTTACAATATGTTTGATTGATCTGTTTCATCCGTATTGTGGTGCTCCCTTAGCCCTTTGCAGATTGCAAAGGCACGTTAGATCTGGTCTGATGTGGGTGCCACCTTCTAGAACAGAAGTTTAAGTGCAAGGGCTGTTACTTGTGTCTTTGCTAAAAAAGCAAAGGCCTGAGGGCTTGTAAGTTGTGGTCCACAGTTCTGTCCCTTTTCTGTGTGTGGTCTTGCCTTTGTTTCTGGCAGGATTTGTAAAGACTCTTCCTCACTGCGGGTCTGGGGTTCACTTTCAGGTCAAGTGGCAGAAGGGTCTGTGGAGATTGCCCTTGATGATGCCCACAGGAAGATGCTTGTTTGCATGCATCAAATGCATCATATGTGGCAATATAAGTTTTTTATGGTTAAAAGGCAAATAACACTCAAATAATGTAACCTCTAGTCAACTGTGAGAAAGCAAATTTCTTGCATGACCCAGCATGTTACCACACGTGGATATGTACTTGCATTCTGGACACAGCCACACCAGAGTGCCCATGCACTAATTTTGTATTTTAGTAGGTAGAGGTATGTGTCTGTTCCCTCCAAAATTTCCTCATTTTCTGCCTTATCCTTAGTGAACTCGGGCATCTCTGCAGGGTGCTCTGTTACAGAAACCACAGCAGTTATTTCACAAGAAACAGCAGCATTTCTAAGGCAGTGGAGCTGGTTTGATTTTGGTCATAAGATGTGCAGACTGGGAAGTTTTGGATCCATTAAGCACTATTGCACAAGAGTAGAGACACTGCCAAATTGGGCAAACATAATTGTACATCACTGCTCAGCTTATTAACTACGTTGTTTGCCTGATTTTGTCTGCACAGGCTGCAGCAGTTTGGGAAGCAGCATCTGTGTGAGCAAGGTCAGACTCAAATGACTTGTAGAGCAGAATTCTTTGCAGATTAGGAAGGCAATGGGGAGCACTAGGCAGCCAAAATGAACACTTAGAAAATACAGATTTGTTTTGTTAAGGTGCTGTTGTAAACATAAGCAACTTTGGTTTTGTCAGGGAAACCTGGAAGCTCAACCTGGGCTGTTTACCTCTCCAGAAAGCAAGGTGGAGTGCACACAGCAGGGGTGGAGAGGCTGTACGTGCACAGTAGCACGTGGAGTAGAATGCAGCACAAAGTCATACCTAGCCTGTGGGGCCTGACTCGCCTCCCACATGGAAAATCCCCCTGCTCAGAAACGTGGTTTCATTGAAACCATGATTTTTAACACGTAATGGTAAGCAGGGAATTTAAAAATCAAATGTTTTGTTATGTACAAGTATTTTGAAACAAAATGTAATTGTACTGGTTTAATTTTAAGTGCTATCTTCCTTTAATTTTTCACTTGAAAGTTTTGAATGGGACTTCTGGACTCTTAATGTTACTTTCATTTTGTATGGCCACCCTCACCTCACACTCAAAAAACCAGAATTGCTTACAGCAAAATAGCCTTTTGGATAAAAATGTTGGCACCTCATATTGCTGCACTGTGACTATGGATAGGAATTATTGTGGTGATTATTAAACTGGCTACCTCCAGTACTGTCCTAAGTTTTTATTCAAATTGCTTTTCATCTTCATTCTGCCCTCAGCTGACCTTTGGTGTTTGAATGCAAATGGGGTCATAACAGAGACTTTAGGTGGTGCCTTAGGTATTTCAGCAGGACTACAGCATTATAAAAGATTTGATTCTGATCCCAACCTGAGTGGGAGGAAATTTTGAAAATTTTGAAGATTTTGAAAATTTAGAGCAAGAGAGATCTTCAAAAGCCTAAAAACTCATTTGAGTCTGAGGTGCCTAGATATGGTGATATTTTAGCCTTTATTGCTACCTGTACTCTAAAGATGCACACAGCAGTCCAGTGGATTGAATACAAAGCTTCAAGTGTTTTTTGATGAGGCATCTGAATTTTTTATGAACATCTAAAGTGTTGCTAGTTTTCCAGCCAAACTGGAAGCTCTGAATTGGTGATGATCTGTTACATACATTGCAAAATCCTTGGGTTTGAGATCATTCATTGGAAAGCAGCATTTTCAAGGAGGTAAGAGTTATTTCTGCAAAATCCCATGATAAATAACAGTACAGTGCTTCTGTTGCTTGCTGGGCTGCAGCCACTGGGAATGATCAGTGCTGTTTGTTACTACAGGGGTTTCAAGCTGGTGTTTTCCTCTGTGGTGTTCCTAGGCTGAGCCTCTGCCTTCTGTTGGCCAGGCCTTGGTAAGGACAAATCTGGCAGAGCTGATAAATGCTGCAGTAGGAGGGAGAGCTTTTTTTTACCTATCAGGTGTTTTGTACTTCGATGAATATAAAGATACTCTCTGTGTAATACTGTGCCTGAGATTCCTTGTGACAAAGCATGGATTATAAATTTTTAGAACTCTTTCTTATTTCAGGTAGCATCTTTCACCTTTAGGTCATGTTTCTGTTCCAAAGTTTTCTCTTACATCCAGTGGAACCAATGGCATTTTAATTCAGAGCACTTGAAATACATCCAAATACCATCCTGATTTCCCTATTTGAAATAAATTGGGTTACAGAGCAAAATTCAAGAGGGAATTAGGTCTGTGAGGTCACCTAGTTCTGGTTCAAACTTGTCACTTGAAAGTTGGTTGACCTGAACAACTGACCTTAGCCTTCACATCAGTAGCAGCTGTCCTTGATGGAAAAATGTTTAGAAGTTTAAAAAAGAGGATTGGAATTTTCAGAAGAGACCGGCCTTTTAATGGCTGTCACCATTAAACCAGCATAGTGTTTAAGGTAAGGAATTATAAAGTGGTTACCACTTTTAAGAATTTTAAATTCTGGGTTTTTATTAGAGGGCTTTTTTTTTTGTGCTGGGATGTACAGAATAAAAAAGTTCCTGTATATTTAAGTAATAATGAGGAAAGCAGGAATAAGTACTGCTCTACAGATCTTTCTGACTTGTCTGGACTGGAGAAATCAGGACTATGATGCAGGAGTTTGGCCAACAGGATTCCCTTCCTAACAGTCCTTAAAAATTCAAGGAGAGTTTGAAATGAATGTTCAGCTGCCCTTTTTTTGAATCATTTTCTTCTGGAATTTCTCCATCGTTAGTCAGCAGCTAAAAGGTGCTTTGGTATCTGTTTTTCCACAAAAGGTTTAGTTGTCTCCAGAAATAAGAAAATTTCCAGGGCAACAGCAGCATTGACAGGAGCAATTAAACCGTATTTGGGATTGTGGCAGGACAATAGCCTCCTGAGTCAGAGGTTTTCATTAGATGATTTAAGTAGCTTCAGGGGTTTAAGTCAGTCCTGCAGCTGATGTGTCATCTTACATTTTAATGTAAAGACAGAAATTTTGTCAGGAAGTATGTTCCAGGTCAGAATGACTGCAAATGAAAGAATGTCATTAAAAAGGAGGTAGTTGACTTGGACTCATTTAGCTTTTTTAAGAAAAAGCTTTCCTCTGCTCAACTGAGCATTACTGCAATGTATTTATACTGCACTTGATGTCTTGAGAGGCTGACTTAGAACAGAGGCTAGACAGAGTTAAAGGAATAAAGTAAGTATTTATTAAAAGGCCTTCAAAGGATGCACCTTGGGCAGTACAAGAGCCTGGCTGGGGCTCTGCCCAAGATGGACACCTGCTCACAAGTTTCCACACTTTTATAAGTTTTGGTCCATTTACATATTGGGGTTAATTGTCCAATTACAGTTCCAGGTTCTGCAGTCCCATCCTCCCAGACTGCTCTCCTCAATTTGCTGCTGTTTGAACTTTCTGGGCCTGAGGCTGCAATGGTGTTCTTGGTTCTCAGGCTGGAAAAGGATTGTTTTGTCTGACTAAACTGTGAAGAGATTTTGCTAACACTTTATATGAAGTTCAGAGTTACATATTAATGCAGTACAGAAACTGGAAAATATGAAAGCTAAAACTTAAGGCATCACACTCAGTGCCTCCAAGTTCAAACAGGCAAAGGCACATCTGCTGGTACACTGATACCAATGCCAGTGGGCAGTTTAAAGGCTGGCAGGCCTCACTAAATGAAGGCTTTTATATCAACCATTAAAGTTTACAGGAGGATTTCCACTGAGAATTAAATTAAGTTCTGGACATTGGATTTGGTAAGGCATAACTGGATGACACCTCATCTAAAGCCTCTGTGTTATCTATCATCTGTTGTTCAGCATTTGGCTGTGGAAAGAGGACTTCGTAGTCCTGAAGGAAAGTCACGTCTGCTTTGTAGCATTTACATTAATAGCTCTGCTTCTTGTTTTTCCTGTCCCTCAGGGTACTCAGGAGCTGGTCAAACAGGTGAAGAATTTGCCCCAAGCCAACTACAACCTCCTCAAATACATATGCAAGTAAGTGAAATTAATTAACACTTGGAAAAGTCTCTAAGTTTTGTGAGGCTGTCTTATATGTAAATAATATACTCTGAAAGTATGAATATTCAAAAACCACTTAAGTATAAGTTACAACTCCTCTAAAAAACATAGAGGTGAATGCAGCCTGCCTGAAGGAAACTCTTGGTTTATCCAGGAGGATCAGCCAAGCAAATTGCTGCCACCTGCAGCCTTGGCAGCAGGCATGAATGATACTAATACATTATATTGTTTATTTCAGAATCACCTACACATCACTAAAGATAGACACTTCTTCCAGATACTGCACACTTGGAAGGTTTATGACAGAACCTGAGTAGCAGATGCAGTCAGAATAGCCAGTCTGGCATTTTCTCTGGTTTGGAAGTGGGGTTAGTAGTGGCTTCCTCTTGGATTACCAGGGACCCCACAGCCTTGTCTCCTTTCATCTCTGCTGATTTTCCCAGTTTTTGGGCTCCCTCTCTATCTGGGGATTGGAAAGAGTTGAATTTTAAAGGCTACTTCCAACTCCAACCATTCTATGATTCTGTGATCTGTATTTTGTTAGATTCAAGCCAAGCCACAAAGCTCTTTCCACAGGCTGCTAGTTCTCGGACAAGGATGACTTATTACTGCTGTTATGTAAGTGAAAATTCACCAAAGTCAATCCATATAATTTGAGAATTCCTGTAAAAATGCAAAAATCTGTCCTTTCAGATCCAGTAGATGACTGGGTCCCTGCTAGGTGGGTACTTCTGGCAGAAAACATCCTGCCTTCTCTGGTTAATAGGAGACCCACGAGGAGGGATCTGGGGTTATACTGAATATCTAAACTACAGTAATTCCTCAAATCATTTCAGGTGTCAGGGTTGTATGAAAACAGGACAAAACTGAATGCTTATAGTCTGAGAAGTGACTTATGAATTCCCTCATCCTTTCATTTTTCTGGGGGTCTTTTCAAGGTTCCTTGACGAAGTTCAGGCTCACTCCAGCATTAACAAGATGAGTGTCCAGAACCTGGCTACAGTATTTGGACCAAACATACTGCGGCCCAAAATGGAGGATCCAGTGACCATGATGGAAGGTAGGTGCTGTTCTGGGGGGATGGCACAGCAGCTGTGTTTTGTGTTTTAATTGAAAGCCATACATTCCTGGGGAGACGCCTCCGTGCCCTTGAAACTCCTTTTGAACCTACTGCTAAAATGAAAGCTCAGCTGTTTTTTCATGACTGTGCTTAAGTACCAAACTGCAATCATTTAGTGTTGGTGCATTTCAGCAGTTACACAGCTCCCTGTAGAGAACATCCAGGCCATGAGGAGAGGACTGTAATTATGGCTATGCCACAGTGGCTATAAGTAGAAGTGTCTTAGAAGTGTTGTCTTCTAAGGAGACTGTATGGATCAAAACTTCACAGAATCAAAAAGAAAATAGTTGAAAATCAGTTAATTTTGGATGTAAAAAATCTGAAGCTTTACAATTATTTGCTTCCATATGAATCAAGCAGGCTGACATTAGGGCTGGGATATGGTTCGTCTCCTAGATTGCATTGAAACACAACTACTGTGGTGCAAGTTTTAGTGAGGTTTTTGCATAAAGTTTTGTAGGATTTTGGAAAGCCTGCAAAAAGAATTGATGAATTAATTAGGCACAGATGGAGATGCTGTGCCCAGGATGCACGAACCTAGCTCTGGTTCTGCTCTCTAGCTGTCGGGAACAGCTGACATGGCATTTTGTGTGATGCAAATCCTTCACAGAAGGCCACTATTGTCATGCCTTAGCAGCAGCAGTGCCTTTAGCTCTTCACAGGTGATGTGCAGATGTGTCCCCCACGATGGCAACTCCCTGTAAGGCAACAGGACAACTTCAGTGCATGACCTGAGGTATTACAGCAGTTCAGGGACTCGAAGCCTACCACAGAGATGTGGACCATATTATTAAGGGTAAATTTGATTCCTTCCCCTGGAGATGTGGAAGGTATAAAAATCGGGGAGGAGAAGGGAGTGTGGGAGCAGTGCTTGTTATTCAGTGCTGGAGGTGGTGACAGCTGAAATCAGCCTGTGTGTGATGCTGGGACTTCCCCTAGTGGCCACCGGGCCAGCAGCGTGCCCTCTGCTCAGCTGGCACAGGGGACAAGTCTGGGTTCAGATCACCTCAGGCATTTCATTCTGCTGCCCATCCGATGGCAGAGGTGCCTGTACTGTGTATAGGTGCACACATGCAGGTGCTGGGTCTCTCCTAATCATCGTATAAAAACACTACAGTGATCTGACCTGGAATTCTATATTGCCACAGATCTGAAGTGTAGAAAAATTGGGATATGTAGGCTGGATTTTTAGACTTAATCATTTTACTCATAACAGGATTGGCAATGCTTTATTTTAGTTGAGAACTTAGTTGAGGTTGGTTAGATAAAAGTAACATAGAAGTGAAAAGACTCCATTTTTTTTAGCTTCAGGGTAATTTGAATCTCTGAAATAAACTGATAATGAGATCTTAACAAAATGCACTCTAATTGTGTCTCTCTTCAATTTAAACCAGGCGTTTCAAATAGAAATAACCAATGCTTGACAGTTAAATTGTTAGGAATGCCCTTATCTTCAAGACATGTAGTTCTCTTTCTGTATTCACAGACACAAAATAGAAGTGGGTAGGTGAGCTCAGTACATATTGCTATTAGGTCAAAAACTCATCAATAAAATAAGGCTCTTGCCTTGACCCTGAGTATGTTTGCCTTATTCTCTATTTGAGGCAATACTTAAAAATAGAATTGCTTATTCACCCTTCTAAAGGTTTTCCTCTTTTGTAGGAAGTGCTTTGTATTAGGTTTGGTAAGTGGTGTTCTCTATTAGTTCATAATGGTCTGCTCCACTCCTGGAAAACAGAGGCAGCACATTTCTGTGGATTTAAATAATTGTGAGCATTTTCTCCACTTGCTGTACACCCTCTGCAAGTGCATGTATAATGCAGATGTCATACTTCCTGCAAGTTTCTCTCAACACTGAGTGCAGCAGAAGACCTGAGCTGAAATTTGTGGTTTTTCCATAAGCAGTAGCTCTGGGCCTGTTCAGACCAAGAAACTGGGTGCAACCTAGTCATGCACAGAGGCTGGGGTGAGTGCAGAGGTCCTGCATGTCTGCTCACCTGCTTGCCTTTGTGTTCCATCCACAGGCACCTCGCTGGTTCAGCACCTGATGACGGTGCTGATAAGTGAGCAGGGGCGGATCTTCGCTGTTCCCCAGGCCGAGGTGCCGGGGAGCCAGCTGGAGATCAGGCCCATGCGCCAGCGCAGCACTGTCGAGTGGATCTCCGAGGAGGACGGCGAGGACAGCAGGTCACACAACAGCGCTGCCAGCCCTGCTGATTTGCCTTCTGCCAGCGCTGTGGCTCTCGAGGCCACTCCAGGACCTGCAGTGAAAATCACTCCTCCAGAGCACAGTGGCAAATCGACTCAGCCTGCCACGAGCCCCAGTAAAAGAGTGCAGACTTTGCCTCCATGGAAATATTCCTTCCGCCAGCAGGGAGCACGGTCTGTGAGTCCAAAGCTGGGCAGCTCGTCCTTAGATATCCCCAACCTCTCGTCCAGCGGGAACTGGCTGATGAACGGCCTGTACTCCCTCCGGGGCCATCGCCGGACCGCCTCTGGGGAGCGAGTGAAGGACTCGTGCTCCTCCCAGAGACTCTCCACTTATGACAATGTCCCTTCATCCAGCCTGTCCCTCAGCACACACAGCATGGCCAGCACCACCTGGTCTACATCATCCTGTGAGATCTCTGTGATGGACTCGGTGAGCAGCTGCCCAGCCTGCCGGGCCAGTGACTCTTCTACTTTAAGCTCCCTAAAAACCGAGTGGGTGACTCAGGGCTCGCTGTCCCAGAGCGAGGTCAAGACAGCAGATCTGGAGAACAGCATGGACAGGTTTGAAGCCTGCAGCAGCAGCAGCAGTGAACAGAGTGACCCAGCTGCAGCTTCCCGAGACTCTGCCCAGTGCTCCAGGGCCTTACAGAGCTTGGTGGTGGAGCTAAAGACAGAACTGAGACTAGTATCAAAAGGTAACGTCATCTGCAGGGGGCACAAGGAAGTAATCTGTCAACATTCTCCCTGTCTGAACATGGGCGTGGGCTACCAAAACGATCAGGTTCTCAGCCCTGAAGTTTGGGGTTGGGTGACAGCAGATTTGGTTCTGCTTTTTCCTTGCTACTCTCTGAATTCAACTTTTTTTTTCTCTGATTTAAAAGAGCATCAAAAAGAAAACACAGGGGAATTTCTATGACACAGGGGAATCCAGTACTTCATATTCTGTGTTTGCATTGTAAATGAGAACTGCACAAGTAATGTCAAAGTCTGCCCTTAGTGTCCTCAGAAAATAGCAAAGCAAACATTGTATAGGGGGGAATTGGGACCCAGGATGATCAGGCCTCAACAAGGATGAGCTGTGCAAGTGCTGATATTGGTACCAGATCAGCCTAAACTGAGGGCTTCCTGTTCTTTTCCCAACAGCAACATTCTTGAGGAATTTGTGCTTGACTATTTTCCACAGGTTTTTTTGGGGTGGTGGTATTGGGACTACATCTCAGCTGTAATGTTTTCAGCTGCCCTTTTGTATTGAACTTCTAGAAACCTCACTTTTGGTTTCTGATGTAGAGAGTGGTCCTTGGCTGATGGGCAGCCTAGCTTGGAGGAGCAGTGTCAACTGTGTCATTTGCCAGCTGATGTGTCCTTGCACAACTGCTGCTGCTGTACTTTCCATCTGAGCTCAGAAAAATTCTTTTCCGTTTTTAGGAGAGCTGTGTCTAGGGCTGGGGCTGTAAGAAGTAGAAAGTATTAATAACAAGGGAGTCATTCATTTGTGTGAGTATATTAGGTTTTATGAGTGTATGTGATTATAGAAAGACTTTTAGGAAAGCATTCAGGGAAATAGGCACATGAAATATTGATGCTTAAAGGAATTAGATATATTTTAATATACAGCCATGAGCAAAATTGCACACCATATTATAATACATGCTGCTATGCAGCACCAGTACTCTGCACTGAAGAAGGGCTGTAGTCCCAATTCTTACAAAGAGTTTAGTTCTTGGGATTTGGGGTGTTTTTTTCTTAAGGTGTTACTGTTATACTGCTTCAATTATTAAAACTTAGATTGGAAATGGAGGTATGAAATGGTGCCAGTCTCCCAGACATGGTACCAGAAGCACATAAGACTGTTGGGATTGTGTAGCACAGCTTTAGGCTGCGTTTTTTGGCACTTTTTTCTTGTAAAGGTAGTTTCTCAAAAATTTATCTGAACTGTGATCTCTTCCCATGGGCCAGTTAAGGTAGGAACTCCTCTTGCTATCTTCCTGATTTATTTTATGATTTCCTCTGATGGTGGCTTGCCAGCCTCTGTTGTGTTTCTGCCTCTCGCCCTGTACTGCCTTGGTGTGTGGAGCTGGAAGGAGAATCAGGCTGTGCAGCAGTTTCAGTTCCCACCTAACATCCCTGAGTGGGAGAAAAGCCCCACCCAGTTGTGTTCCAGATGTAAGAGCTTATGAAACACCAGCAGTTGCTAGCATGGGATGTTGGGAAGGGTCTGTGAATGAGGGTGGAAGTTCATGGCTTACATGGTTTGTTTTTTTAGATGCCCAACTGATGCAGAAAGTGAGGGAGGTGAGGGTATGTGCCTTACATTTAATTGTGCAGAGCTGCCCTGGCAAGCCTTATTGCAGGGATACAGGTTAATAAACAGAAATACCAGGCTGCAGAACCTAGAAATATGTAGCTGCACATTCTTGCCTGCTGCCTGGGGGAAGAGATGATTTTCCACCTCTTATCAGTAAAACTGTTCCAATGGAGCCTTAAGCTGCTGACATCAGGGGCATCCAGGAAGACCTGTTCTTCATTCCAGCTGTTGAGCTGCTTCAGCACCAACACCTGCCTTTCCCCTGCAGCTGGGCAGGACAGAGCACCGTGGCTAGAGGGGAGGACTCTAAATTGGCCAGGTCTCACAGGGCAAAGTAGCTGAGAGTAAAATGCCTAATGAACTAGAGTTTCATAAAACCAGGCACAATGCAATCTCTGCCTTTTTGTATTAAACAGGATGACTCCAGCTGTTCAGGGTTACAGCCTCGAGGACTGTACTGTCAAATCTAAGAATTTCAAGCCAAGTTTTTCTGCCCTCAAAAATTTTACAATGTTTTTACTACATCTGCAGCAATTTACGGGTGCAAAAGTATGTTCCTTTTCAGACTGCTACTACAGAAAGACAGGAGCTAACTAGCAAAGAAAGGAGGCTGCTTAGCATAAAAGATTTAGGCTGCCTCACCAGCTTTATTTTATTGGAGATAATTTAGTCCCCCAAAAGTGTACATATGCTTGTGGTTTGCAGAACTGTGTGTATCTAGCAGGACATGTTTTAGTGAAAGAATACGAGCTTTTTTGTTGGCACGTACGTAAGTGAAGGCAAAGTAGTGAGTGAGCAGAGTGAGTACCTGCCTGGGGCAGAGGTAAGGAACACTTGCTGATGGAAAAGCTGTTATTTCTCATCAACTGCCCATTTTCTCCCTCTTAGTCAGAGGTAGGCAAGTTTTATGGCCTTCCTGTAACCACTCTGTTCCAGAGCATTTCTCCCTCAAGGTTAATACAATTATCAGACATTCTCTGTAGAGTTCAGTAATTCATGTTTACCACCTGGGACTCTTAAGAAAGTGTAAGTACTTGGAGAGGACTGTTATGAATGTAGAAATGCTGTAAGTACTGTGACCCTGTATAATTCAGTCCAGGCTGCTGTAGTTGACCCCTAAACTTAGTGGTAGAAAAAGTAATTGGCAGCTCAGAGCTGGTACGTGTGTGTATGAGGAAGCATCCCAGCATCAGAAGTGTCACATTCCAGCTGGCTGGAGATAAATGTCTGACTTCCTCCACAGGGGCTGCTTTTTTCCGAACTTGGTACAGGACTTTGATTCATTGTGAAAACTGTGACAATACTCAAACTGCCACCTTTAGCTGCATGAAAAGAAAAGTTTAAGGTGACACATTGTACTGCCTCTTGGTCATAAAGTAGAATTCAGACCCTTCTGGGACTGCCCAAGGCGCCCTTTTTTTAAAATTTTTGTTTGTTATGGAGGCAGTAGCATAGCCTTCTTGATAATCAGTTACCCTGACTAAAAATAACCCATTCACAGTTCTACTGGGATGCCGCACCCCAGCTTCAAAGTTGAGTATTGGACTGACCAAGGAGAGGTGAGGGTGACTTTGTGTTGGAAATTATTTTTAAAGGTTGTATTATTTTAATTAGAGAAGGGGCATTTTTCATTGTAAAAGCCTAATTTTTAAATTCACATTTCAGTAATCAGTAATTCCTATGTGAAAATATTCCTTCCTCAGTATTAACACCACTACTTGGTCTTGTGATTGGGAAACACAAGGGGGAGAACAGCAAGTGCTGTGCTGCTTTGAAATCACAAAACCATGAACCTTGTTCTTTGACCTCCTGAGAGAAAAGCCCTGAATTTACATTTAAGAGCTGTTTTTCTGATTCTTCCTCATATGAAAGGTTTGGTTTCATAAAACCTTGTACCCCACCCCAATGTCAGTAATAAACTTCACAGAAAATACCATCAAATGGAGGAGGAAGGACTGTGACCTCATTCCTGTCTGATCCCTAAGGATGTTCCTTTGTACTGGATATCCATATAGACCAATACAGTATCAGGATGAAAACAGAGGTTAAAAGATTATTTTGGAATTATATACTTGAACTCTAACTGAGGAATTAATGCATCTCCTTAGCCAGGCAGTCAGGTGCTGGAAAGTAAGCATTGTTTTCTAAGATTTGAGCATTTTTCTCAAGATGCAAATAAAGGAAGCTCTAGCTTTCAAAGAATCTCTGCCCCTAAATTCAACAGTAATGAAATGGCATTTAGTTCCCTCCTTTAAAACTTCCTCTTAGAATATGTTAAATTTAAGTTTTTCCTCTTAGAGTTTTTATAGTTATCAGCTGTATTTATCCAGCCACTTTAAAAAGCCTTTTTCTTTTCCTCTCTCTTTTTGGTTTTAAGAATTGAAGAAACAAGTGCAGACCTGAGGAACCAAGTGGTCAGGTTAGAAGAAGAACTGGACCAAGAACGAAAGAAGTACACGATGCTGGAGATAAAGCTGAGGAATTCTGAACGCGCTCGTGAAGATGCTGAGAAGAGAAATTACCTCCTGCAGAAGGAAATGGAAGAATTTTTTTCAACATTAGGATGTTTAACTGTTGGGAGTCAAAGTGCTCAAGTCCCTAAGTAGAACAAGTATAGAAAATCCTGTTTCTGACAAAATGAGTGAAAACACGTATTTTGTTCTGGTATACTCATGTATCATGAGTAATTCTATAGTGATTGTGCTCTCAGTGACAATTGCCCTGTTGTCTTTACATGTGCTATAGTATTTGGGCCAGCTGGGAAAGACTGCTGACCATAAAGCTTGATTAAAGTCTCAGATTGCCAAGAAAGAGTGGGTGCTCTCTGTATCCACAGAATGTAAGATACTCTTCTTCAGAGTGTCCTGCTGCCATCTTTGGACTCAACTGCACCATCCTTTTGCTGGCTCAAGGACAGTGCAAGGTCGTGCAGGGGGGGTGGATGCCCAGAACCAATAGACAAGTTCGTCATGGAGCTGAGGGATTCCTGCACTTGTGGCAGGGAAGGTGGCAGTTCCAGTCTGTCACCACAGCCAGGAGGTGTGGCGGAAGGATTTAATGAGGTGGTTTTTGCCCCATCCCTCCATAAAGTTTGTTCAAATTTCTCATTCCTAGAGTGGTATTATTTTATGAAGATACTGTGAAAACAAGGTCTGCAAACATGCTGAAGATATCAAAATCTTCACAATTCACTAAAATTGTCCTTTACCCACCCACTGATTTTAGTGTTTCATAAAAATGCAGCTTTAAATTAAACTGTGATTAATAATCAGATTGGCTACACAAACTCTGTGGAACTTTTAACATGCACATTTTGCCCTAGGTATCTGAGGGTTTTCTGAGCCAAAAACAGAGCAGTATTAGCTGCATGAAAAAAATTCTCCTGAGTTGATACATGTATTAAGGTAGAAGATGGAAGATTCTTATCATCACAACACATCTATGCTTTAATAGCAAAACTTATGGTAAGAGGAATTAGTGCAATTGGGGTGGGGGGTGTCAGGGTGGTAAAGGGGGGAGGGTGGGGATCTATCCTTAACCTTTCCTGGACAATGTACACTTACCTGCCTTGTAACATTTCTCATGATACCAGCTGATATTTTTGTTGTTAGTTCTTACAGGGAGATGAGGGGACGGAAAGAATACTGCAAACAACCCATCTTCCCAAGTTCCTTACTTCTGCTAAGGAGAAAATTAGAATGAAGCTGTAAGTTCTGGTAATTTGCTGCCAGGGCTGACTTCCCTTCCAAGTGATTTCAAGAAGTTCTGCATAGCATTTGTAACACCCTGAGCCATGCAGAGCCTGCACACTGAAAATTGTTGCACCAGATTCAGCTTGAATTTCACCTGAGAGCCCAGCACTGTTCACTCTGTCTTTGACATCCTGAGGTAGCTTGGGAGTGCCTAAGGAGAAAGAATTTTAACAAAAAAGTGCCACAACAACATGAACTGGCTAAAGGGGAAGTATAGACTGTAATGAAGAAGACTGCTTTATTTTAAATATTTTGAAAAAGTGCCCTGAACCTCATTTTGTACTAGAGAAGACTATAACTCACTGTCCAGAAATAAACTTAGAATGGATTTTTTACATACCAGGAGATAGTCAATACCGAAAGATACTCTTTCTCCTGTCATCTCACAGATATTCAGGTATTTCAATATTTAAAACATCTGGCTGTTAATTTATTTCTACTGCACTGTAACACTTCTCCTTCCTATAGAAATATTAAAAAATGTTAACCATTTAAAGTGAGCAAAAAGCAGAATTTTAACCTAATCTTTCCAGGATAAGAAACATCAAGCAAGGTGGTACAGTAAGCCATGTAGATAGGTTCATTCAGTTATTTCAAAACCTTTTCCCCACTTCCCAGGCTCTCCAGCTGCCCTGGATTCCTGACTGCCCCAGGCATGAGGCAGGTACCTGCATGTTCAGCAGCAGCTGCCTGCCATCTGCAGGCATGAGCATCATCCCCACCTTTTTTTTCCACTTCTGCCTTGGATTCATTATGAATGGTCACAAGTGATGCTTTAAGGATTAAAACAGCAGCATCAGATGCATAATGTGAGAGAGAAGCATTAACAGTGACTGAGCTGGAAGAGCATAGTGTGACAAGTCATCACAAAATATACCTTAATACTGGAGGGTGGTTTGAACCAGGTTGTAAGTAGAACACCAAGACTGATAAAAAGCAACATTAAATCCTACTACTAGTAGCAAGCAGGGCATTTTAATGCTTTTATTTCTACCCAAAACATAGACACCTTTCATTGTATCCATCCTGACAGCCCACACCTTCCTTACTCTATTTATATTGCATTATCTCCTGTATGTATTGAGTGCAGACTGCTCCCTGTAGTTCACACTACACACTCAACCACTGAGCCCTGCTGACTGAAAGACTAAACAGCAACTATGCCAGATGAGCAGTGAACAGGACTGCTGGGTAACTCTCCAAAGTATTTAACCATAGGTAACTGTTTACAAACCCACCTATCCCAAACTTGCAGATCCAGGATAGGATCATGACATCTATAGCAGTACATAATCTGGTATCCAAGATAAAATTCTTTTTAACATACAAAGAAACTCTATCCACTCAAAATGAGGAGTGAAACAAACCAGTTCCAGAGTGGCTGTTGTGCTCCAGCAACATCTCTGACTCTTGTTCACGAGGAATAAATTTCAGCTGCTTCTGAAGATGAGCCACTGCAGTAGATAAACCTGGCAAGAAGCTGCTAACAACCCAGTTCACACTAAAATACACCACAGTGGGATGCTAACCTCAAGTGCAGCAACAGGACCATAATGCTAAATTCCTGATATGGGCAATTATGCAAGAAATGAGACCTACTTGTACACAGCTTCAAAGAACATTATGCCCTCACCTGAGGAATGTGATACATCCTCTCCTAGCTTTAACTCCTGCTTCCACACTCTTCCCCACCAATGCATTTCCCCACACCAAGCACTGGAGACTACTCCTTATTCTGCAGACCTTTCACTTGTTACAGTCTCTGATTTAAATGTCAGCTTTCTTAGCAAGTGTTTACAAGATACAGGTTTGGTTATTATTAATTAAACGTGACAGAAGGTTCCTGGAATAGATAAATTTTTACCACAGCTTTACCTGTGCCATCTTCCCAGCCTGAAATATCCCTTCCAGTATTATGCAGGCAAAAAATAAGAAACAAACAATAAAAAAAAAAACAGTAAAAACTTTGCCGTGAAAAAAAAACAAAGCAAGCAAGCATATGCTTTAAAATAAAGCAAAACAGCAACACTTCAGAATAACTAAGAAAACTTTGTTAGGTCGTGGCATTTCTAACACAAAAAGGAAAATGATCAGGGATAGCTTAATGACTCATCTACATTCACAAGGCAGTTCCACTGAAGCCATCAGTATTATGGAGTGTTCCAGTCCTGAGCCACCAGACAAATCTTGGGCACAGAGGATACGACTCTCTCTGGCCTTGCTCTGTAATAACGTATCACTCGAAATTAGCAGCACTTTATGCAAATAAAGAGCATCTCTGAGCCTCACCACATTCCTAGAAGAGCATTCTACAAACTGCTGGCCCAGATAAACAAAGCTGGCTGCACTGTCACAGTCACAGTCCCTTTCCCTTGAAACTGGACACAAAGGCACCACCAGCACAGCTCAAGTGCAGCTGCAGTTGTTAAGGAAGCACTGAAACCCTGCTGGAAGTGAAGGCAATCAAATGCATTATGTTGGGACTCACCTGTGGGAGAAGTGCCAGTGCAGTGAGTGATCCAGGCATCCAAGTCAGCTCTCCAGAAGTCAGATCCTTCAGGCTTCTCCAACTCACAGTTTTGAGAGATTATCCCATACACTAGGCAGCCCGTGGCTTACCTCTTTCAGCAGCACAGGCTCTCAGCAGCTGTGTTTCCAGGAATTAAGGTGGCTGGAGCTGGCAGCAAGGAAGCAAGAATGGATTCCCACTGGTTTGCAAAGACACTGAATGTGTGTGGCTGTTAAGAGTCTGTGGCACATCCAAAGTTCATGGGAATGGAAAAAACATGTCACTTGGCCCACAAGTGAGCTCACAACAAGACAGGACACTACCATTAAAAAACAGATGAATTCTCAGGAAGGACTCTCACTAGTAAGATTTCAAGTACAGCCCTATTATGCAGTCCATATGAAACCCATCACAGCCTGGCAATGAAGAAACAATGCATGGTGGTCGAACTTTTTTTTTTCTTTTTTATTTAAAATATCATTATAACCAACTGACATACTAGATAACAATGTATACATTCCAGTGGTGCACATGTAATGACCTATGGCATGAATGAGTTAAAAAAAACCCACAATGTTCTCAGTAATGCCCACCAACAGCTTATTTGGAGGGAATAAAGGAAAAACAGGAAAAGGTATCAAATGTGGGGAAGAAAAAAAAATTAGCTTTCCCCAGTATTTTTAATGGTGTGTCTTCCCCTTCATAGTTCTTGGGACATAATAAAATGAAGACTATACTTCAAAAAGGGCAGAAGGAATGATCACAATAACTGGGGTGGGATTTTTTTTCTCAACTTTAGTAATAAAAGTTAAAGAACTCTCAAAAATAGACTAGATATTGGGCCTACAAAAGTAATTCATCTGTATGCAAAGCTTACCAAGAATTATTCCTTTTGTAAAATGTAAAGGATGAGCTGACATTACTAGTAAGCTATTTTTACCCTACAAAACCAGACTACAATAATAAAATCACCAATTTACAGCTAACACAATAATCTAGATGTACATTACTGTACACAAGCTATATATTACACATGAACATCTTACGTGAAATAGATAAGAAACATACTGATATTGTCTCAACATTGGCCAATAGGTTTGTTTTTCTAAAGGTGTATTTTCTATTCACATTCAGTGTAGTTCCAATAGCAAGGGTTAGCTTTGCTTACTTAAGAAACGTAGAAAGTTTGTGTGAGGTAGTTCAAGAAAACCTAGCTTAAATTTTGAACTGCAGAAGTAGAAACACAATGTGATCTGATTTGTAACACATTTCTGTAACACAGACGTACAAAGAGAAGGGAGTGAGAGAGACCACTTAAAATACTACTTTTATCCAGTGCCCTTAACTAAGAATAAATTAAATTAATTGAAAATTTGGGTAGGCAGTATAGTCTTATCACACTGCTTCAATAAAAACCTCTTTCTAATCCTATTGAAAAATACAGACAGGCTCTCCTTAAACTGCACCAAACCACTGACAGGAAAATAAAATGTAACAGCATGGACAGGCTGCTGCCAACAGCAAATAAAAACAGATTTAGAAACTGTAATTCACTCCCTTTAGCAACTTGGAAGAGTAAGACCAAGTATAAGTTGAACCTTCTCCCCTTCTGCCCACAGTCTTTACCAAGAAACATTTACTGTCATACACTTCGGATTATTGGCTGGGTAGGACCATCCTGTAGGAGGTTTTTGCCATTTTTCTTCATGCACTGCTGAGCTGAATGCTCCATCCATCCAACCAACCAACCAACCAACCAACCATCCATCAACCATCCATCCATCCATCCATCCATCCATCCATCCATCCATCCATCCATCCATCCATCCATCCCCACCAACCCCAG